AAGGATGATCCCCTGTAGGCCAGCAGAAGAGTTCTAGGCAGCAAGGTCTCTTCCCGGGTTAGTTGTTACTTACGTCGCCGGCTCCCAGTGGGAGCGCACTGTTCCCAAAGGCGGCGGTGTCTCCCAGGTGGCCGTTCACAGCTCTTCCCCTGAACGCTTGTGCAAGGGGAAGCTGAGCCAGAGTTAATCCCTTGTGCCCCAGGAACCAGTGGTGCCCCTGAGCCCGGTTATGTTTCCTCCCCTGTGCACCCCTCCTTTGCTGTCCTGTTTATCCCATCCTTCTCCTGCACCGCTCATGTACACAGGGCCTGGGCTAAATTCTCTCTTCTGATGGGGATTCTGGAGCTAGTGAGGTTGCACCTGCTTAGGATCCTTGAAAGCTCCCTTGCCGGGGCACTCACGACCTTTAGCACTGGGATGGGATGGAGCAGGCTCCGGCTGTGCATCGCCATGGCGTTCGTTCACTCACCCGTCCAACACCCAGTGGTCCCAGCGCTCCTCCATAGCGCCGTGCTGTGCCTGGGGTTAACCCTTCGGGGCCAGAGATCCGTGAAGTGCCCGGGCGGGTGTCTTGTAGGGAACTCGTGGCATTTGGGATCGTGGGCTCCCCAGCATCGAGTCTGAAGCGCCTCCTCTCTTGACCCCCCTCTCCCAGGGTTCCTCACCAGCGTCGTCCTGCAGCTCTACGGAACGGACGAGGCCATGACGGCCAGGCAGATAGCAGCCTCCGTTGTGAGCGAGTGTGTTAGGCGGGACTCCGAGGGAGCGTGCGAGGGTGAGTTGTCCTGGCAGCAATAGACTCATTAGCACAGGGCCCCAATGGGGCTCTGCTGTAGTCCTCAGGCAAAGTCAAGAGTTATCCACAGCCACGTGGCCGGCTCTCCCTGACACCCACCCACCCACCCCCGGAGCCGACAGGGCTCTGCCAGGACAGCCGGCCACCCAGGAGTCCCCTCAGCTCACCTCAGAGGAGACCATTTGCCTGGTGAGCTGGGGGGGGAGGTACGTCCATGCAGCAGCCCTGAGGATGCTTTTGTGTTCCCTCTCCTGGCTGGACCTTCCAAGAATCCAGTCAGTGGCACTCCTCAGCGAGCCAGGGGGTCCCTGAGTGACAGACCCCCCCCCCTCCTTTCAGGGGTGCTGGGCCCTGGCCATACTGGCATCTCCTGCTGGCCCCAGGAATGAGTTGGGGAAGCCTGCTTCATGTCAGCCTGGTGTCCTTCCCCCTCCTTCAATCGGGCATTACCGTGGGGCACAGTTGCCTTGGCCAGAGGGGCTGCTAAGCCATTCGACTTGGGTTCAGCAAACCGGGCTGGCCTGGAGCTGAATCAGTCTCTGGCTTTCAACCCCGCAGCCAGAAACGCTCTGCTTCTTATCAGCGTGCCTGTCTCTCCTTAAGCCCGAGGGGATATCCGTGCTGTGTGCAGCAGGTTGGAACTAGAAACCACTTAGATTCCTGGGAGTCACAGGTTTGAATCCAGGCAGGGCCAATTTAACCCTTTGTCCTGCAGAGAGCAGTCACTGGCGTTCCACACCTGGAGGGCTTTCTTGGAGGAGACCTTAAACACCAAGGCCCAGATCCTCCAAGGTATCTAGGTTCCCAACTGCCACTGAAATAGCTTTGTGGATCTGGCCCAGGCTTCCCTGCTGCGTGTGGGCACTGGCCATGCCAGGGCACCTCAGTAAGATGGGCTGCAAGCTCCAACTAAGTCCCTTCGTGCCCCACAGCTGTGCAGGCGGCTCTGTGCTGGCTGTTACCTGCCCACCCTAGAGCTGGCTGCATTTCAGCCCGTGTTGCAGTACATAGCCTGAGGTGCCCTGGTCTCATGCTAACTCTTGCTCCTCTCCTCGCAGAATGCAGCAGCACCTTCTATGCGTTCCAGCACCTCTGCCTGTCCTACTGCCCTCCCCGCTATTACAACCGATCCAGGAGGTCTCCCAGCCTGGACAGGAGCCCACGCCCTGTCCAGGTCTGTGCCACCTGCCACCCGTCCTGCTACACCTGCCGGGGGGACACCGCCAACAACTGCACCGCCTGCCCCCCCTTCTGCACCTTCCATGAACTCTCCCACTCCTGCTCCCCGCCGGCATACCCCTCCCTCTTTCCCAGCAAGCCTGCAGCGGCGCAGCACCAGCAGCACCTCGTCTTCATCATCCTGGCGATCCTGCTGGGCGGGGGCCCTCTCCTCGTGGGCGTCCTCTGCATCACCTGCCAGGGGGTGTCCCTCGCCGCCTCCTGGAGGCAGCGGAGGGGGCTCTGCACTCTGCCCCCAGCTGCTGGCCTGGAAGGGGGAAATCAGCCTGGGACCAGCAGGAGAGAGGCTGGGTGCTTAAATGAGCCAGGGCAGCTGCAGGCTCTGGGGCCACCAGCGGAGGGCAGCGCTGGCCACATAGCCCAGACTCTGCCTGCAGGCCATGCTGCTTCCAGACTTAGAACCTGAGACCGCCCCCCTCCCTGTGAAATAAATCTGCTATTGTCAGTCAGAGCTGGCCCCTTCTCTCTTGCTGCAAACCCCTACTGGCTACCATGATCACTGCATTGGCTGCTGTTCTGTCCCACATCCCTGAGCCTCAGGGGTCAGAGAGTCAGGTGGGGGGCTCCGTGCTCCTTTGCGCTTGTCCCTGGCCGTGGCTCCTGGGGGCTACTGCACTGGCCACAGGGTCGGCCTAGGGCTGCAGCATTGCTAAGCGTGCAGAGTGTCACCTTCCCCGCCCACTGGGGAGGGAGAGTGAAAACTGATGAGTGGGGAGAGGATTTTCCATCCAGTCACCTGCCCCTCTTCTCGCCGGAGGAGGGTGTTTGACGCCTCACATGCCGTGAGCCGATGCAGCTTTGCAGGTGGGAGTGGGGGAATATTAAGCTGGTAGCTGTACTGCTTGGCGTACACAGCCCCGTGGATCTCGCTAGGTAACAAAGGACCAAGCCTTGGTCTCTTCAGCCCAGAGCATCAGAGGCCTTTAGGAACCTGATGCCCATTGAAAGCAATCACAGCTTGGTGCCTAAGGCTGTTTTGTGAGGCTCTGGGCCTGCACTCCTGCAACCAGCTCCCCCTATCGCTTTGTGCTGCCGAAATCCCCCAATGGCGCCGATCCCCCTTCCAGTAAGAGACGCGGCAGGGCCTGAAGAGGTAGAAACAATGTTTTATTTTGTTCAGAGGTTTTTGCCCGGGTAGTTTCTGCAAGGAACCAGCTGAGCAGAGCAGTGGCCACCGTCACTATACGTAAGGGCCTTTTCGCACAGGAAGCGGCCGACCGGACCCTCCGCTTGTATTTTAAGGGAGTTCCTGCAGCTGCGGCGCTGGGCCCAGGCCTGCACAGGGGTTGTACAAGTAGAGGAGGGAGGCGGGTTTCTGCTCCAGGAACAGAACTGAGGGGTTGGCCTTGGGGGAGGGGCAGCTTCGCCTCGAGTTTCCCTTCTCAGAATTCACAGTTCAGGTGCTGTCCCCTCTGGGCAGAGTGGAAGTGGGGTTACCTCTGCTCAGCTAGGAAAGGGAAGCCGTCCTGGCAAATCATCCGTGGCAGGGAGGAAGCTGAGATCCTGGCAGGTGTTTTTCTGCCTCGGGCAGTGATGGGGGAGTTCGAACTCTTAGTGGTGATCAGACAGAGCCGAGGTGAGGGAGGTGTTGTCTTTTAGTGGCCTGACTTCTGGGGGTGAGGGACAAAAAAAGATGATTTCCTCACCTGCCTTGTCTCTGTAAGGTCCTGGGCCCAGCACTGCATCTTGCCACAACACCACTGCATGTGCCCCCCAACAGCACTAACAGCCGTCTCCTATCACACTACAACCAACCAGCTCCCCTTCCACCCGCTGCTTACCAGCCACATGGGCTTGCTCCTGCCCCCTGCATCCCACACAGCTCACCAGCCAGCATCCACACCCTCCCCCAGCCAGTCTGCTTTCCCGTTCCTCTGTACCAATCGTCACCCTTCTGCTCTGGGAGCAGGGGGCACCGTGCCGTGGGTTAAATACCCCCCTGAGGAGCAGGGCAATGTTGGATCAAGTCCACTGGCTACTGCTCTGCTCTGGATTATCCCTGAACGGGATGAAATCCTCTCTCCCAGCAAGCCGCTGCTGCCCCTCTTAACGCAGAAAGTCACTTTGATCAAGAGTATTTGGGATGATAAATGCACAGAGAAGGGCTTAACCCCCCAGCCACTCACACAACTGAGTACCCGGCTTGTGGCTGCAGTCTGTGTTCTGTAACCTGCCTGTACGTGGGGGGGCAGCTCCTCTGGGCACTGCTACAGGGGCCGGGCAGTGTCTGTGAGGCGCCCTGGCCCCGTGGAGGAAACAGCAAGACAAATGACAGGGCTGGGGTTGAGGATTTCAGAACCTTCTCCTGGGCGTTCAGGCTAATTTTCAAGGGCAACCAAGCCAGGCTTTTAGCCCAGGTCTGCCCACGTGACCCGATCTGCCAGGCTTAGCAGGTCATTAGGACACTACAGTTGCTCATCTCCCTGCCCTGGCTGCAGCATGCCAGAGGGAGGTAGGACCAGGCCCCATCAAAGGGCGAGGCTAAAGCCACTCTCCTCTGGGCTCAGATTAACCTTGGCCAGGCTGCAGAGACAGCTGTGCCCCTGGCACACAGCACAGCTCCGGGGAAGGCTGGGATGGAGGGAGGGAGGGAGAGACCAAGGGGATCTCCCTGGGCAGGAATGAATGTCAGTTACAGTATTCCTAGGAGCAGTTTTGCATGCTGCAGGCGTTCGGCTGGGGAAAGCCCTTCCCACGCTGTTTGGTAGCACAGTGCTGGGCCCTGCTGCTCTGTGGTGTCTTAGTGACCTTACTGCGGTGGTTGCTAAGAAGTTGCCTTCAGCTATGGGGCTCGTCCATCACTCAGCACTGCCCAGCTGGGGGGTGGGAGGGCACAGCTGGGGATGGACTGGAGCAGGGATGCTTTACGCTGCCTTAGTATTGATCCAAGCTGGGTTGGAGCAGCTGTTCAGAGTTGGAGGCTGCTGGAGCTCACGACTCTCCCCATCCTATGCCGTCTCCTCCTTCAAGTGCTTTGGCTCGCCGGCTCCCGCGTGGGGGCAGGCGTGGCCCCGCCGCTGCCCCCACCCGCTGGAGAGGGCGCGAAGAGGAAGGCGAAGCCCAGGTCGTACAGACAGAACAGGTTGTAGACGGTCATCGCCAGGGCCGGGAAGAAAGAGAGTCCGAAGCCAAAGCCCCGGTAAGCGCTGCCGACGTGGAGGCTGATCCAGTAACAGCATCTGCAGCACAAAGGGCAGAGAGTTCGCTACCCATCCGCAGCGCAGCGGAGGGCAGCTCGCCAGGTGACTAGTACATGTAGCGCCCAGAAGCGGCGCGTGATAAGGATGGACTCCCTGCCCCGGGGAGCTTACGCAATTCATGGAGAACAGGAGCTGAGACCAGGGTGGGGGAGAACGCGAGGATCATGCAGTTACTTGGGAGGTTAAAGGGCCAAGTGGTTGACGTCAACTCTGCTCTACCCAGTACCCATCACAGCCTCCCCCGGTCGTTCATTTGAGACCAAGTCATTCCTCGCCAGGCTGCAGACTCTTGTGGGAAGCTCCCCCAGCTCTCCCCAATCAAAGAAATCAGCCGGCCAAGGAGATGCAATCAGGGTTACACTCGTGCCAACGAGATCTGGCTCACAACATGGCTGGAAATAAACAAGAGGCTCTGAGGAGCTCTCCTGTCTGTTACATCACTGTGGCGACCCCTGACGTCTATGGGCCTGACCGCTCTGGGGGTGCTGCTCCGGGCCGGCACGCGGCTATGCCAACGGGGGAAGGGAGTTTCCGGAAGGCAGCGCAGCCCGAGCAACGGGCCGGGAATCTCTCACGACGGTCCCTGAGGCGAGCAACAGACTGGGAGGGGCCGGCCGCTCAGTGGGGAGCTGCAGTTAGGGGGGACGTGAGGGGAACTGCACCCAAAATCGCTGAGCGCTTCAGTTCCCACTGGAGAGCCAGATCCTTCAGTGGCACTACGGTGGGCAAGAGCAGCGCGTCAGACCCCCGAGCTGTGTCTCTACTAAGGAGGGGCCAGACAAGAGGCATTTAACTGAAGCTCTGGGGGGGCGCAGGGAGGGGTGTGTGGTGGGGAAGGGAGTTAACTGGGTGCATCGTCCATGCTGCCCACTGCCATCCCTGGTCCCAGCGTCTCACCTGCCGATGGAGAAGAGCCCGGCTAGGATGGGGATGAGGCGCAGGTGCTCCTGGGCCAGGAACGTGGCCAGCACCACCGTGTTGAGGCCGAAGATGACAAACTGCTCCATGGAGCTGGCGATGTACAGCCGGTGGAGCAGGACGGGCCGGGAGCGTGTGTCCAGTGGGTCGATGGCCACCGAGCAGAGCTTGGCGAGAGCCCCGAACATGACACCTAGGGGCAGGGTGGGTTGGGGGGAGAAGGGGAGAGGTTTGCATCAGACACCACAGCCAAACCCAGACCCCTTCATGCTTCTGAGCGCCGATTCCAGCCCTCGCCGGGCTCCTGCTGAGACAGAGCCGCTCTCGGCCGACAGCGCCAGCAAAGACAGCTCCACACCCCATGTTCCCTGTCCCCAAAACGAAAGAGCTCGTGGGCTTGGTAGAGCCCGTGGGTAAATGTGGCTTGCCCAGTCCCTGGGTACAACTCCTCCCTATTTTATCAGTAGCCATTCAGTGACCACCACGTGCTCGGAGCTGTACCAAACAAAGAGCTGAGGCTCAGAGTTGATAGGGCCTGTAGTACTGGGCATTTAGGGAAGACCACTGCAGCGGTTAGGGTGGCACTCAAGTGACCCAGGTTCAATTCCCTGCTCTGCCAGACTTACGTCTTGGGTAGGTCACAGCCTCTCTGCACGGCAGATCCCCAGCCCAGCCCTGTCTCACAAGGAGGTAAGGAGGATGAAGACTGACGCTCAGGCACTACAGAAATAGAAGCCATAAATACCCTAGATAGATGGCAGCCAGGACTTCTGGGTTCTATCCGGGGTTCTGCCAGTGTGTGTAACCTCAGATGAGTCATTCAGCAGCTGCGTGCCTCAGTTTCCCCTTCAGTACCATGGCGATAATAAGCATCAGTCTTGATGCAAAGTGCTTGGCACTACAGTTACCAATGGATGGAAATATGTGTCAGAGGGCTGAGTCCATTGGCTGGCGAGGCACAAGGCAGGACACAGTGGGCCCCAGGAGCAGAAGTATGAGACACGCACCTGATCCTACACTTAAAGCCGTTGGTTTGCACTAGCTTTGTGCCTTGCATGTGTGGCTGCACTGGGGCTGGGGAGTGCTGCTGCAAACAGCAGGTGGGCCCCATCCTGCCAGGGCCGGCCACCCGTCTCCTGCTGAGCCGGGAGGCCAGCAATCTGCCTGTCACTCGTGCTAAACCTTACCCACCGTGGAAGAAGGGGAAGCCTCGGTTTGTAGGTCTCAGAGGGCAGCCAGGACTCCCCCCAGGACAGGCTACAGCAATCACTCGAAGGTCAGACCTGTTGCCCTTCCTGATACCCCCGCCGCCCCTCATCAGAAAGCCTCCCCGTCGCAGTGAGATTTTCTCCCCTGAATTAATTCCCTGGCGGACAGGAATCAAAAGCCACCACCAAACATCGAAGGGCAGGCGGAGCTGGCTGCCCTGATCTGACAAGTGCCAGCAGAGGCTCAGAACTGGGTCACTAGGCGGGGAAGGGGGGGGGGTCCCTTTTGATCCCTCCCCACTCAGCCTCCTACCAGATGCAGATGGGTGTTACTAGTGCATGCAACACTGGGATGGTAAATTTCCTACGATGAGTGCAGCTTTTGGGGCCGGAGGGAGGCTGGAACCTAGATCAGGGGGGCAGGGCCGTGTTTGTGCAGAACCTAACATCACGGGTCCCGTGCCATGCCTGGGGGCTCCCGGACATGACCACGCTACCAATAATCATTATAACGGACTCGGGGACTGCATGCTCAGGAGGTGCACAGCAAATTAGCGTGAGCAGTGGGTCCAGGCCACCGCCCCCCCCAGCACCCAGGGAAGGGAGAGGATAAGCCAGCAGGTCATGCAAAGCCCAGCGCATTCAGCCCACTGCACGCCTCCGGACTAGACATCCAGGTGCTCAGGTTACCCTGGTGACAAGGCCCAGCTGAGTCCCTAGATAGGTGCCTTTGGTTTAGTGCCTGACCAGAGAGTCTCCCTCGGCTCAGGGACCGGCTAGGCAGCTGCTGCAGCAGCTCCCACTCCTCTCTCATTAAGGCAGGAATGCTGGGCTCAGGGATCCTTCCAAAATCCAATTCCAGGCCAACAGCCCCGTGTTTGCTCCCTGGCCCGCTTGCTGTTGACAGAGATAACAAAGGGACCCGGAGGAATTTTCTCTGTAATTAAACCGTCTCCCCGAGTGCCTTCCACGGGAGACAGACGGGGGCTGGGGTCCGGCCCGAATGAAGCAGCGCTTAGCAACACTCATCCCCTGTGCTGACAGCACCGAGAGAGCGGGAGACGTGTACAAGTGGCAGAAGTGTCCAGTCCAGGGAGCAGTTGGGCGTGGGAGACAGAGCTCGGGTGGCTGGAGATGGGAGTCAGGCCCAGAGGACATTCCTGGCTTGGCTCGGGGTGGAAAGGTCTCTGCCAGCACTGGGGCGGGATCAGGGGGCTTAGCTGACAATCAAAGCCGTGACCGTGCATTGGGGCGACTCCTTTTCCCCCCATAGACTCCAGCTCTGCCACTGCCCCTGCTCGTGGGATAACCAGCTGTTCTCAGCCATCAGGGAGGGGACTGGGGACCTAGCAGGTCTTCCCCACGGCCCATAAGCGAGGTCTCTGCAGGGTCTGCAGCCCCACGCAAGCTGCTCTGACCCATGGTGGGGGTATTGTGCTCCTGCCATGGAGGGGCGGAGACTCCCCAGTGAACTATAGGACAGTAGGCTCCAGGGGCCATGTCTGCCCTACAGGGGTGACCTCACAGCACTCACTAGCAGCCTGAGCCAAACAGATCCAATGGAAACCTAGGGAGGTGGTGGAATCTCCATCCTTAGAGGTTTTTACGGCCCGGCTTGACAAAGCCCTGGCTGGGATGATTTAGTTGGGGTTGGTCCTGCTTTGAGCAGGGGGTTGGACTAGATACCTCCTGAGATCCCTTCCAACCCTGATCTTCTATGAGCCTATGAAACAAGCAGATGGCCTTTGGATCAGGCCCTGAGCACCCACAGTCCTGCCCCCAGCAGGCGCTGGGCTCAGTGCAAAACCCGGGACGGATTAAAACAGGGCTGGTGCCAAAGTCCTGGTTTGGAATCAGGAGCGGGACCTTCCCAGGACATCAGAGGGTGATGGGTCACTACTGGTGGCTGTTCTGGGAGCTGTCCACACCCTGGCCCCACTTAGAGGGAGATTTCCATTGCCAAGTCAAAGCACATCCCAGAGACCCTGCTGCTGGGTAACGAGGAGGAATTGGCGACTGGGGCTGGCAAGCCCCAGCCACCCGGCACCCCATGGAAAGCAATCAGCACGCAAAGAAATTAACTGGGGTGGGGAGCACGTCTTCCCTCTCCTGCATTCAGCACCATGGCCAGAGCAGGGAAGGAAGGGGGAAATGAGAAGGCAGAGGGGAACCCTAGCTGACGGCAGCCTGATCAGCCATCCAGCCTGGTGTGGCTGCACTGGGCAGATGCACCCACACTTCCTGGGGGCCCAGGGAGCAGGGTCGCTGGTGACGCCAGGCCCAGTAGGAAGTGGCTGTCTGTCACCAACAGGGCAGGGTGAATGTCTTGGTGCCTCGCATTGCAGAGCATGGAAAGTCTGCTGCCCTTGGGGCTCCAGACCCCTTCACAAGAGCCCAAATGAGGGATCCAAAATGGATGGAGGAAGGTCTCCTGGGAGGGGAGCCCCTCACAAATACCCACGTGCCCAAGGGGGAGCACAGAGCCTTAGCGTCGGGCTCAGGCCAAGACGCAGGAGTCAATAGAAAGATCCTGAGACCCTTGTGTGAGGGTCTCAAGAAAGGCAGACGGGCCGGAAGGAAAGCCGGAATTCTGCTCTCTTTGTCCGGGTTCCTAAGGAGATGTTGCCATGACCCAGGTCTGAGAAATGCCAATTGCCCCCCGCTCCCTGACAGTGTCATTATCCTCATTTTACAGCAGGGTAAACTGAGGCACAGGACAGGGCCTTGCCTACGGTCACATAGTGAGTTGCAGAGCCAGGAATAGCGGCCAAAAGCCTCGGCCCCCTGCTTTCACTGCTCAATAACTCTCCCTCCGAAAGTCAGGACTAGAACCCTGGTGACCAAACCAGCATCAGGACCAGCCCCTCGTCACCCTGCCCCCTCGTGCAGTCGCACTGTTCACCAGTGCAAGGGGTGAGTGTGCAAACACCACCATCCTGATGTGCATCGGGGTAACGTGCACCAGGGACAGAGCCACGATGGGGTGGGGGGCGCTGGCAGGCAGAGGGACAGCTTGGGTCCCCCAGACGCTTGCCAGGAGGAGAGGCGATTCCCTCCTGACCCCTGCCCGGGCCCTGAAGCCCGACCACCCCTGGCCTTACCAAGCATGCTGGGCACCACGGCGATGAGGAGGCAGCGCAGGGCGAAGGCCGCACGGCTGGCCAGGTCCGGGCAAAGCGGCGGCTCGAAGGGCAGGAGGTAATAGAGTCCGTAGAGGACCCAGGGCGCCAGGAGCAGCGAGACGAAGACCGAGGACACGGCCTTCAGGTGGGAGCTGGTGCCGCAGCTGCAGCACTTCCCCGGTGGGCGAGGGGCGGGCTCCTCGGGGCCACAGGAAACCGGCTCCACACCCGAGCCGAGGAACGGCTGCTCCTCCCTGGGGAGAGGCCGACTGGCCGTGGGGCATGCTGGCCCTTCGCTGTGGGGCTGCGCCCTGCTTGGCTCCCTGCTGGCGGGCAGATGCTCCATGTGCTGCACCATGGGGGTCTCCGCCCCCACCCTGTCCAGGAAGCAGGTCTCCTTGGGCACCGCCACCACCACGCTGCCTCCAGGCCCTGCCCTGCCAGTCTCCCGTGGGTCGCAGCCCAGTGGAAGGATGGGGTCTTTGGGGTCCATTGCCACGGGAAGCCCAGGGTCTCCCTGCACCATGGAAGGCCGGGGGTCCTCCCCCAGGAGAGGCCCAGCCCCCTGGCTCTGCATCCCCTCCACTGGCTCAGCCTCTGGCCCTGGAGAGTCGCTTGTAGCCAGGCTGAGGGAGGTCTCCTCCTCGGAGGTGGAGTGCAGCTCCTCGACGGAGGACTCGGGGCTGTCGGAGACGGGCGCCAGGGAGATCTGGGTGTCCAGGTCCAGGAAGGGCGAGAAGGAGAGGCGGCTCGGGTCAATATCCTGCAGCTGGTTGATGAGGTCGGCAATGGAGTCCTTGACGCTGTCAAACTCCCGCAGCTGGTGGCAGCTGGCCGGGGCCTTGGGGGCTGTCATGGCTGGAGGGGTGGGGCTGCAAGGCAGAGACTCGTCAGAGCCCGGGGGAGAGAACGGGGTGTCCGACCCCACTCCTGTCCCTGGCGATCCCCAGGGCTCATCAGCGCTCCTGGCAGGCGGGTCACACAGTCATGGAGGGGGAAGCTGAGAGACAGAGAGGGGAAGGGTCTTGCTTAAGGCAACCCCACAAATCAGTAGCAGAGCCAGGGAGAGGACCCGGCAGTCCTGACTCCTGGGCTCTAACTACGAGACCCTGTTCCCCTCAGAGGTGGGAAGTCCAGATTCCCACATCTGTGCTAACCAGTGGGAATCCTGACTCCCAGCCCCCCTGCTCTAACCACTAGACCCCACTCCCTCTCATTGCTCCTGGGAAAATGCAATATGCCAATCTCTTCCAGCAATGTTTCTCATGGGCGGGTAGGGACTGACAGGGACATTGTATTAGATTTGATTTGATGCCTGAAAAGCAGCTGTCACCGCAGATCTGTTTGGGGGGAAGGGGGAGCTCCATGTTATGTGGGGCAGGGAATCCCCCAGAGGGGCTGGGGCAGGATTTCTCTTGGGGGGACGGGTGCTGTGATCCCTTCTCTCCTGCTGGCCCCGAGGATCAGGGCTGGGGCTCAGTGCTCTTAGCTGAGACAGGCCTCGGCCTCCCCGGGGAGCAGGCTCCTCTTGTAGCCGGAAGACGCAGCTGAGACTCTGAAGCCGGATGGAGGCTGCTACCTCTGGGACAGCGCTGTGCAGTCCCAGGGCTCCCATCGGGGCAGAGCCCTGCTGCCCCACAGCTTGTGAAGGGGGTTGGGATGGGGCTGCCCCCCAGAGTGCGGTCTGGATTTCAGACACCGCAGGGTCCAGGTGTGACTGGAGCCAGGGGGCTCGGGGGGAGCTCTGTCTCCATGCGGGCTGCAGGACGGAGCACTCTGGGAATCAGGGGATGAATGGGCCACTGAGCACCATTTTCCCCAGTCTAAGACAGAACTCGTCCCTCCCCCAACATGGGAGCCAGGGGCCCTGTGGGGTACAGCCCATGGGCTGGATGACCCCTCAGGGATAGCCCCCAAATATGCTGTGGGGAAGCTGTGTCCTTATAACAGGGGCCTCTTCACTGCAGTGGGACAGAGGACACATGACCCACACCCATGGGTGCCATGTTGCTGGGAGACGGGAATCGCCACGGTGCACAGATCAACGGGGGGGAATCCCATCTCCGCTACCAGCCAAATCCGGGAGGAGGAGAACTGCCCCCACAATGCATCTGGATGGGCAATATTATCCCACAGGGAGGTGATCTCCCCCCGCCAGCCATCGGCTCCAGCCCTGGAGCTGGAAGCGAAGTTGCTGGACCCAGTCCTGTGTATTGGGATCTGGGAGACACCTGGGCGGGGGTGGGGGGGGTTAAAGGCGCACAGGGCTCCTAAGCAAACAGGTCTCGTCCGTATGTGTCAGGAAAGCCACAGCCCCTCCCTCTGCCTCCCCCCTTTCTGTGACAGCAGCACCCCCAGTGCAGCTGGGAAATTACACCAACCTCCCCCCCCCCGCCCACACATATCAAAGCATTTCATCTTTGCCCCCAGGCTAGGAAAATGGGGTGACTAGTGTCCCCCAAGATCTCCACTGCCCCCCTCCTCCCGTGCTGATGGAAAGCAGAGAGGAGACAGCTCAGTGAAACTCCTCCCTCCCCCCGCGTCTCGATCCCGGGGGGCCCAGCCAAAGCCGGCCCCTCAGAGTGACCCTAAGTTAGACAAGGAGAGGAATCTCCCCACACCTCTAGTGGGATGGGGGGGGCGATGGGGGGGGATCTGTTCTGTTAGGAAAGGGCCACTTCAAACAAAGTCGAGAGCTCAGAGTGCAAATGGATTTGAATCCTTCAGTCCCCCACCCCTTCCCCCCTCCATGTCCCCCCGGCCCCCCCACATCCACCCCTGCCCCCTATTGCCCCCAACTGCCCCCCATATCCAACCCTGCCCCCTATCGCCCCCCACATCCAACCCTGCTGCCCCCTCCATATCTCCTCATATCCAAACCTGCCCCTTATCGCCCCCAACTGCCCCCCACATCCACCTCTGTCCCCGCCCCCTCTGTAACGCCCCCTCTGTAACGTCCCCCACATCCATCCCTGCCCCCATCGCCTCCAACAGCCCCCTACATCCACCCCTGCCCTTACCCCCTCCATATCGCCCCCCATCGCCCCAACTGCCCCCCACAACCACCATCCACCTCCCCCCTCAACCCGCTCCCCTACATCCAACCCCCGAACCTCCCTCCGACCTGCCTCCCCCGAGCCCCCCATCTCCAGGCCCCGCCCCGCCTGCGCCCCCGGCCGGCTCACCGCGATCGGCTCCGTCCCGCCGCCTCGGCTGCAAGTTTGAATGAAAACGCGAGTCAAGTTTCGTGCCTGGCCGAGGCGGCTCCCCCCGCCCGGCCCGGCCCGGCCAATCCCCGCAGGCGGGGCCGCCCCCCGGCCCCTAACCCGGGCCACATGGCTCTGACCCCGCCAGCGGAGGATCCCAAAGCGCTTTGCAGCCACCCCCTGCCGGGGAGTTGGGGTTCTGGGGCCCGATTCTGCACCGCTCACCCCCATGGGAGTCGGGAGCCATTCAGCTGAAGCCAGCCAACGCGGGAGCAGGCTCTCAGCCCTGCCCTGTCCCTGCTCCAGCTGCAGCATGGGCCAGCGGATAAGGGCATGGAGTGGGGCACTCCCAAGTGGGAGAAATAGGCCGGTGCCTCAGTTTCCCCCCCCCTTGCCCCTTGGCTGTTTAGGCTGCAAGAGCTTCCATACCCTGCTTAGCACAATGGGGGTTAGTGTTTCTGTAATACAAACACGAGGTGGGGAAACTGAGGCACTGAGGGAAGGGGACTTAAAGATATTACCCAGCAAGTCCCAATGGCAGAGCTGGGATTGGGACCCAGGCAGCCTGACCTCTGCTAGGCTGCTCTTACCCAAAGGGCTTCTCTGTAAGTAGTATCAACCCTTTAGAGGACACCAAGTACCTGCATGAGGAAGAGCCCACTAGCAGCAGAGGGCTCTTAGATCTAGCAGGCAAAGGCAGAACAAGATGCGGGCTGGAAACAGAAATGAGATGAATCCAGCCTAGAAATAAGAGGCACATATTTGACAGTGAGAGGAATTAACCATTGGAACACACTTGCCTGGGGACGTGGTACATTCGCTACCCCTTGACGTCCAGTCCTAGGTAAGATACGCTAGCTCAGCTACCAGATACGGGCTGGATCCAGGAATCGCCAGGCAGCCCTCCGTAGCCTGTGCTCCGCAGATCAGGCTAGATGAGGGTAACGGTCCCTGTGGGTCGTTAGATTTGAGGAACTCTCAGTACCCTAAAACCAGCACCAGGGGAATGTAACTAGGTCTCAGGAGTGTCCCCCCTGTAGCACCCACATCTCAGAGCCAGGGGCCTTGGGTCCAGCTAAGATTGCACTGGCTGTGTAACTACCCTGACCCTTCCTTTGCTGTACGGTGATCAGGTCCACACCCCTGCCCAGCACCGAAAGGGTTAAAGCTGGTTCTCTCCGTGCACAGCCATCCGGTCCCAGCCCAGATCTTAACTTGCATGGCATGTTCCATCCTTAGATCTCAAAGCACTGTGGGCCAGTCTTACCATCTCGGTTTTACAGAAGGGAAACTGAGGCACAGATGGAGTGACTTGCCCAAGTAAACTCAACCACAGAGTCTGTGGCAGAGCCAGAAATCAAGCCCAGGTCTCCTGAATCTCAACCCCTCACGCCCATCCGTCTCACAGGACAGAAGCTTGGTCCCTGCGGCTGCCCCTCTGCCGAATTCAGAGCTGCCTCACTCATTGCTCTCTTCCCCTAACAGCAGGACTCCAAGGGGGAGCCCAAAGCACAGAGAGGAAGTGACTTGCTCACGGGCCCCCAGCCAGTCAGGAGTAGAGAATCCAGGCCCCAGCCCAGAGAACAGAACCCAGCTCCCCTGGCCCTATCCTGGTTGTAGGGGAGTTGAAGCAGAGAGGAGGTTTCCCACTGCACTGGGGGTGGATCTGATAGCCTCCTGCAGGAAGCGTGGCCCCTGTGCAGCTGGGATTTCTCTCACAGCCCAGGGCACTGGCAGGGGAGAGCAGTACTATTGGTGGCTACCGGTTCTCCCCCCCATAATTGCTTTGAGAGCTGGGCTGAAATCCTCCGGGACGGGGTGATCTAAGGGCTTCTCTGACAATAGTGCCCTTTGTTCAGCAGCGGCCATGTGCTCGGTGTTGAGCCCAGCAGAAGGGGGGGCCCCCGAGGATAGAGTTACACAAGCCGGGGATGGGATCTGGCTGGATTTCACAGAGGGTGGCAGAGGCAGGGCTGTGGGCCCAGGCAGCTATCAGCCACAGGGCTAGGCTGGGCGGCTGCTGAACCGAACCAAGATTTCCCACCTCTGGCTACTGGGGTTTGCAGCCCCTTGTGCATGGGGATGTCTGCTTGCCCCCTCAGCCATGATTGAGCTGGTGGTGACTGGGAGACAGGGCATTCCTCAGCTCCTGGAACAGGCTGGGGCCCCTAGCCCAAGGCTCCAGCCTGCCCTATGCCATGAAGTACCCCCATTTCCCACTGGCTGGAGAAGGCAGCTAGGTCACACCTCAAGTCTCCTTCAGAAGGGAAAGTCTGGCTCAGTAACTCACTCTTCCCCAACCCCCCCAGCCTGGGACCTCTGGCTCTAGCAGCATGAGCCTCTGCCTGAACTCAGAGACCCAGTGTGGTTGGCTCATAAACCCCCATGTAACCCAGCCAGAGCACCCCACTGTGGGGGCAGCTCCAGCCCGAGGCTGCAGATGTAGGGGGAAACTTGTGCCTATTCCAGCAAGCAGCAGCCTGGGAGCAGCTGTGCAGACCCCTAATGGAGACAGTTGGGGCTTCCCTGGTCTGGCCATCCCTCGCTCAGAAGCGGATGAGATTGTCCCCGCTGAGGTACCAGCTAAGGCTGCATGACTGGTGCCCTCCAGGTGCTACCCCAGATCTAGTGCCTTACAAGGCTAGGCTGCCTCCAAGCCAGCAGCCCTTTGCCACCAGCAGTGAAGAGAGAGTTTCCCTTCTGGCTCGTGTTCTGCTGACTCAGATGGAGTCGGTTTCAGGCCATTTGCACTAAAGCAGGCACCTGTGGGGAAGGGAGCAGTACAGCAGAGATGAGTAGTTGGTTTTGGTTTTTATTAAACAAACAAAGGTTACAAATAAAGAAGGTGTCAAACAAAGTTACAAGAGTCCAGCTGGGAATTTCAGCACACAGCCCTTAAAACAGGGAGAGCCCACAACACAAAAAAAAAAAAAAACCTCTTACTCCACCCCAGGCACAAGGGCTACACAGCTGCCTTGCAGGTGGATGATCATGAGGGAGGCATCCGTGGGGCAGGGAGGGAAGAAGATCAACGTTTTGCCTGGAAAGAGCTACTTGGCGCAGCTGAGTTGGATGGTCCATCGCTGACCCACCCCAGCTCCTCGGGCCCAGGGATGGCCTTGCTGAACACAGCACCTAGCACTAGCTCTAGTCACGGCTTCGAAGCGCCGGTGGCTCACTGCAGAACCCGGACCATGTGACCCGAGAGTGCCAAGCTCCCAGGGTTGCCTATGCCAGCCAGCTCACCCAAGCAGCTCAGTTCCCAGTACTGTGGGGAGGCATGTTGGCAAGACAGTGGCACGCAACAGATCGAAAACTGAAAACCAATGGTGGCTGCAAGTCCTGCTTCTCCTGTCAGGGACAAAAATTCCCCTCCCAGCTTCCCTGTGTGCAGCTCAGCTCTCCCACCAGGACCTGCCCATGCTCCATCAGCCCCTGGAGTGGCTACAGGAAATGCCTGGCTTGCTCTCCACTGACCCACCCAGGGAGAAGAGCGAGGCCTTGAGTGAGTTGGAAGAATTCAGGAAGCGAGCGACAGACACAAGAGGCAGGTGCGAATGTACCACTAGAGAAATCTTAGCAGCAGGCAGATCTGCACAAGCCAGCGACCATTGCCCTGGGCCCCAGCACACGGTAGCCACTCTGGGACAACAAGCCTTAAATGCAGTCCTCTGGCTGAACAAACTGTCTCAAAGGGGTTTGTTTTTTGTTTTAAACTGTTCTAAGGACACAGGTTTCAAAGCCAATACAAACAGCCCAACTTAATACAAAGGCAACAATAGAATTTAAGTGGAGTTTACCTTCAGCCATTTGCATTTCTCTCAGCTCAGAGGCTGATCAGTTTCAACTTTTGTTTCTAGTCTGTTTCACTTTCAGGTTCTCATGCACTGGGAACTTGCTGCAATGCTTGGGTTGCAAAGGCCTGCAGGGAAGTTGTTGCTTTAGAAGGAGACAAAGGCAGATTCCCTCTGCAGTTTGAAGAGCACTGAGTAAGTAAAGGGGAAGCTTTCAAAGGGTCTTTGTTTGGGTTAATATACACCCCCCCTCCCCAAGATTTTCTTAATTAACTTGAGTCCAGGTGCCCATCTGGGACACATTTAAGTGTCCTGATTTGTCAGAGGGCGGGTGGAAAAAAATCAGCCCCCTTTAAGAGGTTCTCAAGTTGGATCCTCAAAATTGAGGTACTCAAAGGCACTAGTTACTTCTGAACTGTAGATCTTGAAAGTTGGGGGTCAGATTTGGATTTCCCCTGTAGGAAGCTGCCCTCTGTGCTCACGTTGGGTTGCCAAGCTCCGTTTTCCCAGCTGGTTGTACGTGGAGAAGGAGAGCGTAGGTAGGAGCTAAAGTTTGTGCTGTTGCTGACTGGAACCAGGCAGCAGTGCTGCACTTTGCGACTGGGACGTTTGAGAGCAGCCCATCAGGACAGACTTCTGGGAAGGGGTTTTCCCTCTACACTCAGGCCCTGGGCAGACATCAATCCACAGCCAGTAGCCTGCAGAGACGGTATTTCCTCCGGATTTCAGTGCGGACGTCACCCTGTGGAAGAGGGATTTCAAAGGTTATAGCTCAGGGGGGCAGTGCTTAATTCGTGCCAGGGCTCAGCCCTGGCACCTCTGGGCCTGGCAGTTCATAGCCCCGGCACCTCTTTCATCACAAGTTAAGCACAGCAGGTGGAGTGTGCAACACTCACAAGGATCCCCCACAAGGCAGGGGAGACTGAGACCACCTGCTCCTGCTCGAGTAACTCTGCCAACAGGTTGTCCTCCTTCAGTGGACTAGCCCCCCGGGGGGGGTGGGGGGGGAGAGAAGATGTGGCATGTTCTGCCATTGCATTACTGGGGCATTATTTCCTAAGCAGATGAACTGCACCATGGACTCCTGAGGCTGATAGAAGCTGATCCTGCCATGTTATTGGTAGATCAATAACCCTAGATTTGCTCAGCGGAGTGGCACCATGTCACTGTTCAGCTGGGGGCCTGTCTCCATAGAAACAGGGCACATCTGAGCCTCGAGGCACAAGGAGGGGCAATGCCCATGAAAGGCGAGAACGGCCGAGATCCCATCTAGCCCCTTCGTCAGCCGCGTTAGAGGGATATTGACCGAGCTGGCTCAGCGCGCTCGTCTCCTTACCGCTTGGCTGAGCTTCCCCAGCAGCGGGAGGACGCGCAGCAACTCCTCATCCTGGCGGTCTCCCAGCCAGCCGGGGATCGGGACCCAGTTGGAAATCTGCAGAGAGGGAAGCAGCGTCGGCTGTGCAAGAACCAGTCAGTCCCACCAGCCAGGCCGCAGTTAGCCAGGGGAACGCTGAGAGGTTGGAGATCCAGGGGCAGGAGTGGAGAGAATGTACCCTGAGGTGCAGGGCTGGAAGGAACCTCAGGAGGTCATCAAGTCCAACCCGCCTGCACTGAGGCAGGACAAAGTCAACCTAAACCATCCCGGACGGGTGTTCGTCTAACCAGTTACACCTCCACTGACAGGGATGCCACCACCGCCCTTGGAAGCCTTGCAGGACCCATTAGATGCACCCTCCCCATTGAACAGCAAGTCACTGATAACTTGGGTATCAGTTGCGCACCAACCATTAGCAATTTCCTCTTGATTGCATTTCCCAGGTTTGAGAGTTTCAGGTGAGACGGTCAAAAGACACACACCCACACCCAAGATCGCCACATCTATTCCTTCCCCCCCATCCACTAGGCCAGTAACCCCATCAAACGAGGGCATTAGGTTGGTTTGGTAGGATTGGTTCTGGACAGATCCAGGCTGACTATTATCCTCCATGTGCTCACAAACAGATTGTTTAGAATTTGGTTCCGGTATCTTTCCGGGGAGTGAAGTGAGGCGGAGTGGTCTAGAACTTCCTGGGTCCTCTTTGTACGCCAGTCCTCCGAGATCTCACCCATCCTCCAGGAGTCCTCAGAGAGAATTGCCAACGGTTCTCAGATTGCTTCAGCTAGTTCTTTAAGGACCCTAGAGTGAATTTCATCAGGCCCTGCCAATGTGAACGTAGCTACCTATTCTTTAGCTGGCTCTTTACCCATGTGACTTGTGTTCCTTCCCCATTTGTTGTTGGTACAGTATGTTAATTGTGCAGCGTTAACCATCTGATCAAAATGCACCTTTCTAGCCAAGAAAGAAACAAAATAGGCATTAAACAAACACCTCCATCTTCTTGAGGTCGTCCCTTATTAGCTGTGCTTCCCCGCTAAGTGGGCCACGCTTTCCTTTGTCTTTCTCCTGCTCCTAGTGTATTTATAGAACTTGGTATGTCCCTTGCTAGGGGACACGCAGTTTGGGAATTAGCCTGTCGCACTTGGTCTGGACTCTTCTTCAGCCATTTGTCCATGTTTGTTTTTCGTAGGATTCCTTTTTGGTTTTCAGCTCATTAAACAGCTTCTGATGAAGCCATAGTGGCCTCTTTCTGGACTGGACGTGCTCTGCAGAGCTAGGCTGGGTGGGAACCTGCCTCCAAAATCCTGCTTTCTCCTGTGTTTATCCCCACTTGCTCTGCAAAGCCCCATTCCCACAAAAGGGGATAGTCAGCACAATGGTCAGGCATGACCGTATACAGGCAAACACCCCCAGCAGGACCTCAGCTGAGAAGGGTACAGGGTTAGGATCAAGCACGGGAGACCCTGGTCTAAAGGACCCAACCTCTTGTGGTCTCTAATGCCCCTGGCACTTGGGGTGTTTGCTTTCAGGGGAATGCCAGAGAGGCAGAGTGTAGAATCCAGCCAGGATGCTGGGGCAATCATACATGGGACAATTCTTACCTTCAGCAGCCTAGCCTTGCTGGGTATTGTTTAGCTGCTGCATCACACCCCAGAAGTGGCTGCATTCCAGCAGCAGGGGGTGCGACTGTTTGCAAAGCACCATAGGAACCTCGGGGATGAAAGGGGCTAAAATGACCCTTTTGTGCTTTTGACGGGAAGCACCCCTCACCTATGCCCCGTAACACATTGCTCCCCTCGGGAGGTGTGTGTGGGGGGGTAGGTCTCTGACCCGCTGCATGGCACCGGATGGGGGTGAGCAGGCAGAGGGTCAAATTGCCTTCGGAGATCTCACCCCCATCCTGTGCAGGCAGAGCAATTCCAGCTGCATCCAACACCCCCCAGTTACCTGGTAAGGGAATCCTTGGAGGGAATCATCCAGGGCCACTGTCCTGGCCAGGTCTCTCTCCAGGATGGAGAGGTCCTTCACATAGTAACCCTGCTCGCAGAGGCAGTCCTGTTGATAGAGGCGGTGCCTGGGAGGGAGAGGCCAGGGCAGGATAAGAAGCCGAGCAGGGGCAGGGAGGAGACATGCGCCTCTTGCCTGGGACAATCACCTGATCAGCTTCTTCTGAGGGTCCAAGACATCCAGGATCTTCTCTGTGTAGTCCTGCTTCGCGGTGGTGAAGACAAAGATCTGGGGAGAGCATGCGAGCAGGGCTTGGGAGCGGCTCCCCCACGGCCGTGTCTGAGCAGCTCCCAGACACAAGTGGTGTTTGCCCCAAATCACTCCCCACCCCCATCCTCAACCCTCCTCCCTCAGGAGCATCACCGGCTGTTACCAGCGGGGAGCCAGAGGTATGGGGAGATGAACTGACCTGGTCACACAGGGACCCAGTGGCAGAGAGGGGGTTGACCCTGGGACCCAGTGATTCCAGAGATCTCTTCAGTCCAGAGATGAACCCCCAGCCGGCCTCCCCTCACCACCCATCCAGACAAGCCCACGGGCCTCCGAATTCAAGCCTGGCTTTGGATCTGGATTCTGCAGCTGGGTCCTCTCCCTATCGCAGATGTCTCAGCTCCCTTACGCCTCCCCCCTGCCCCCCATGCAGCGCCCTGGGTCTCAGAGAGGGAGGCCATGGGCCCAGCAGGTACCTCGTAGGCTTTGGAGAGGGTTTCCAGGAACTCCTGCACGTGGGGGCGCAGCTTCATATAAACCTCAAGGAAACCAGGGGGCAGGAAGCAGGGATCAGTATTAATAGGTCCAGCCTCCATCCCTTGCACTGCACCTCCCTCTTCTCCCCCCCCCCCCAAAAAAAACCCTCTCCAGCAACGGCTTCTCATTCAGCACTGGAGACGGACGAGGCAGCGAATCAGCTCAAAGGCCCATCTAGCTGCAGATCGGGTCTCCAAGAGCAGCTGTCTCCAGACACTCCGGAGGATGGAGCAGCTCCTTGGTGTGCAGGATAAGCCTACTCCTTCCTGACCCCCCCTGCAGGCTCAGCTTGTGCCCTGAAGCATGAGGATCAGTAGCTCTTGCCATTTGGATTTTAGCCACTGCAACTATAGATGAAAAGTGAATCTTCTCCCCCCACTTCCCAGTGGCCAGGAAAGGCCACAGAGTCTGATCAGCACAGGAGGGCTGCAGGAAAGGACAGAGGAGGGAAGGCCAGGTTAACAACACAGCTCTCAATCCCCATCTAGTGGGCAGACCAGGGACGTGTTGAGGAATGGGCCAATTTCCCCACTACTTTCCTCACTGCCACCTCCAAGGGCGATAAGCCCCTCCGGCTGCCCCCCTCCCAAAAAAATCACCCCCCCAGGCTCCTCGGCGGCCCCTGCCAGGCACTAACCCGATAAGCGTCCCCCTGGAAGTCTGTGAGGAAGGTGCAGTCGGCGTCCTGGCTGGATGTCAGGGAGCAACAGACCAGGATCCCCTCCTACAAGCAGGGAACACGGAGCTACTTTTAGCACCTTCACCACATGCGAGGCCCCCCCGGCAGCCCCCCGAGCTGGCGCAGCAGCCAGGATGCCCTGTACGGTGGTGCCAGGCCCACGGGGAGGGGGAAGGATTTGGTTATTTTAGGACGTGCCTGATCCCTGCAGAGACACCCCCCGGCTCACCAGCTCCAGGACCAGGGTGCTCTCAGGGGTGCTGCGGGTCTTGATGGGGGTTTCTTTCCTGGGGGGCTTCTGGCTGGACCTGGGGGGCAGGGTCTTGTGGACGAAGCTGGATGGGTGGGGAAGCAGAGAAAGGGGATTGGAGCTTCAGGGGTACAGTCACCCCCCCACACACACACCCCAGCCCAGGGACAGCGAGCGCCGTACTCACGGGCTCAAGATACCGCTTTCCTCTGGCTCATCCCGCGGGAGGTCCCCGAAGTACACAACTCCCCCCGTGGGCTGAGCTCTGGGCTTCCCTCTCTGCACCAGGGGGCTCTCTGGCTCTGGAGGGACAAAGGCCTGGCTTCAAGATGGCGCCCGTCTCAATGGGGCCAAACTAGGACTTTGGGGCACCCAACAGGGCAGCGCCCAAGGAAACATGCCAGGGCCCAGAGCCTGCAAGCCAGGGCTGAGGGGACCCAGTCCAGTCAATGCCCATGCAGCACAAACCCTAAATCCCCAGGGTGACCGGCAATGGCCCCCCCAGACAGCTCAGTGGGGGGCCGAACCCTGGACCTCCCCACACTCAGCTGCTGCCTGAGGGCTCCTGGACGGCAGGCAGTGCCCGAGCCCCCTTGCTGGGGCAACCGGCCTCACGCACCAGCCCCCGAGGCAGGGCATGGGAGCGCCCGGTCGTCAGGGGTCCAGCAATTCAGCCAGCCTCACTTACCCTCCGCGCCCAGGGGAGAGAAGCAGACGACGCCCAGGGGTGGGATCTGGAGGGAAGCCGCCTTGCTTGCTGGGCTGGATGGACACTGTTCGAAATGCACCTTCATGGCCCTTCCCATCAGTGGGGATACGGGCTCTGCGGGAGGCAAAGGGGGCAGGCGGTTACGGCCCATAGGAAGGGGGGGGGGGACCCACAGAGTCAGCACGAGGCACCAGCTCTGAAAGGTGCTGGGCACTCAACGCACCTGGGACACCATCCCTCCCCAGCCTGAGCCCCCTCACCTGTAGGGCCGTCCTCTTGCCAGCCTCTCCACCGGCTCTTCCCCCCTCTGGGGGCACTCGCCTTCTGAGCTGGGGGTCCCAGATCCTCCACGTCGCCAGTGGTCTCCCTGGGGCTGAAGGGCTTCTTCACCCGGGGCGTGATCTTACCCGAGCGCAGCATCATGGTGCGGACGGGCAGCTGGGGGCGGTGGAGGAGACAGAAGCACCCAGACCCTTCAAACAACCCACCCCGCGTTGTTCGTGTGATGGCTGCCCCAGATAGAAGGGGGTCACACAGCCCTAGTGCCAGCCTATATGACCGGTAAAGTCACTTTGGTATCAGTCCATCCCCAGCAGCCACATCTGCTCCAGCCTCTGTGCCGCGCCCCCTGGTGGACACAAACACGGCTTTGATTTGCTATCAGCCTGCCCCTGGTGCAGGGATTCCTATGAGCTCAAAACAGCCGCTTGGCCCTGGCGTGAACAGGGGGGCAGAGCTGTGGGGAGCCAGGCCTCAGGAGCAGGCCCAGGGGACTATCACCTATCGTCAGCCTCAGGCAGAGCAAGACTGCTGCCAATGTCATGATGCAACACAGGAGGATCCCCGTCAGGCCACCGCCTCTTCCTAGCTCTGTTTGGCCCCGTGATGTAAGCGTAGCCCAGAGGCTGGGGAGCCTTGTCTGCTCTAATAAAGAGCAGAAGAATGGCCATACGGGGTCAGACCAAAGGTCCACCCAGCCCAGTATCCTGTCTACCGACAGTGGCCAATGCCAGGTGCCCCCAAGGGAGTGAACCAAACAGATAATGATCAAGTGATCTCTCTCCTGCTATCCAGCTCCACCCTCTGACAAACAGAGGCTAGGGACACCATTCCTTACCCATCCTGGCTAATGGCCATTAATGGACTTAACCTCCATGAATTTATCCAGTTCTCTTTTAAACCCTGTTACAGTCTTGGCCCTCACAACCTCCTCAGGCAAGGAGTTCCACAAGTTGACTGTGTGAAGAAGAACTTCCTTTTATTTGTTTTAAACCTGCTGCCCATTAATTTCATTTGGTGGCCCCTAGTTCTTATATTATGATATCAAGACACCAAGGCCACTTGCCAGTTACAGAAAGAGGGAATAGACAATACAGCCACAGGAGCTTCAGAAAACCAGCCGCTCATTGCAACAAACAGGGGGTCCCAGTTACGGCAGAGCCAGCAGTTTGTTTAAGTCTCCCTGAGGCCTGAAAAGACACAGCCAGGCACTGGAGAGACCTCAACACTCACCTAGCCTGGGGAATGTAGCACACCAGAGACTGGAGTCAGAGGACACAGCCCCCAGGAAGCTGTTTTATTGGCAGGGTTGGTTAGTAATGCAGCCCAGCTGGGTTTGCAGGTAATATTGGTGCATTTAAAGGGACAGGAGCTTTAAAAAAAAAAAATCAGCCCAACACACAGAGCCAGAAACTCAACCATTTAAGTGCAAAATGAATAATGCAGCCCAGCTTTCTAATGGGTGCATCTGAGTGCATGCTATGGCTCATGAGTGTGAGGGGTTAATCGCACTGGCTGGGGCAGTAGCTTAGGCAGGTGTTTGCAAACTTCACCCATACGGGTCTTAGGATGTATCTCGTTCCTGATCCATCGTTCCCGTGCCCTGCCAGCGCCCCTCAATCCTGACCTGCAGCCCCTGCTGCTATTCCAGTCTTGGGCCACCCCCTTCAGCCCTGCCAACGCCCCTCAATCCTGACCCACAGCCCCTGCTGCTATTCCAGTCTTGGGCCACCCCCTACCCCAGCCCTGCCAACACCCCTCAATCCTGACCCACAGGGACCTATTCCAGTGTGGAGCCCCCCCCTGCAGTTCTGCTGATGTCCCTCAATCCCTACACAGCGCCCACCCCCCGCCCCATTCCAGTCCTGGGATTCGTCAGCAGCAGGTGCCGGGCGTGCCAATTGCTGTGGTGTTTTTCCAGCTACGATGAAACATCCATGCAGGGCTGGGTACAGACCCAACAAAATCATTTCACTTTTGACCTAAACCAGAAATTAAGACGTAAGGGGCAGTGGGGCCTAGTGGTTGGGCACGGTGAGTCAGGACTCTGAGTTCTGTCCCCAGCTCTGACACTGACTCAGTATATTGGCGTGGCCAAGTCACTTCCCCGCTCTGAGCCTCAGTTTCCCCATGTGGAAAACAGGGACACTCTACCCCACAGAGGGACTGCGGGGCTGCGTTAATGTCTGAGCTCCTGGGATGGTGCATGCTCTATGCCAGGGGTCGGCAACCTTTGAGAAGTGGTGTGCCAAGACTTCATTAATTTAAGGTTTTGCGTGCCAGTAATACATTTTACATTTACAGGGGCCGGCGGACGGAACCCCAGACAGGCAGCGCGGGTGGCAGACAGAACCCCAGACTGGCAGCGGGCTGAGCCGTTCAGTCTGCTGCCGGTCTGGGGTTCTGGCCGCCGGCCCCTGCCAGGCGGGGTCCCGGCCACCGGCCCCGCTCAGCCTGCTCCCGGCCTGGGGTTCCATTCATCCAGGCAGGCAGCGGGCTGAATGGGCCGGCGGCCAGGACCCCGGCTGGCAGCAAAGTGCCACTAAAAATCAGCTCACGTGCCGCCTTTGGCACGCGTGCCGCAGGTTGCCGACCCCTGCTATATGCAAATATTGTCACGCGTGGATTTGCTCCTCACAGCATCTGTGGGTCCTGGAGAGATGGGACAACACCATCGCATTTCCCCTTTGATTCTGCTGGTGGCAGAGGGTTCACATGGGAGATGGACGGAAAGATGAAAGGCCTGTGCCTGGCCCAGCCTGGGATCTCTCAGACACACTCCGAGCCCAACTCCGCGGTCCTTGTGGGGCCTGTCAGATTCCAAACAGCCAGCAGGGGGAGCCACACTCCAGCTGTGAGGTGGCCTTGGGGCCGGCTGGGTGTTTTCCATGGGCATGTGAGGCCCCCAGAAATGCTGGTGTATATTCTATGGAGAACTCAAAATAAACAGCCCAGCATAAAATCACCGGCTTCACTCACAGGTTTGTGGCCAGGCGACCTGCCATCAGGAGCCGGCGCTCAGCCCCTGGGTGCGTTCTCTCTGGGATCTCGAGTGGGAATCATTTCAAAACTGCAGATGGAGTCCGAGAAAGCGGGGAGGGGGGATGCCTGTGTGTGCATACGCAGGTGCATGCACATCTGTGTGTGTGTGTGCACAGGCATGTTTGTATATGCACGCATGTAAGTGCGTGTTCATGCGTGTTCACGGGTGTATCTGTGAGCAGGTGTGCGTAGCCGTGCGTTAGCACACAGCCCAAGGCATTATCATCCCTCTCCAAATCATCCGATGGGCTTAAAGATCACAAGATTTCTTTTAATTCATATCGTGGGGCTGGGTTTCTTTGCCTCCTGGCTGTTAAGTCTCTGGGTGTCACCTTTTCACGCTTTCTGGGCAGCCGGGCGGGCTAGAAACGTGCTGTGTTTTTAAATGCAAGCTCAGAATCTGATGCAATCACCTGACTCCAAGAACTGGGGCTTCAAGGAAAGCACCTGGTATCGTGAGACTCAGATTAAGATCACGAGAGCTGGCGATGTTGTTTCATGGGCTTTCTCTGCCGGGCACTCACAACCCCAGTGCACCAGGCTGCTTAGCCTATCAGATCCCACCTACCCCGTCCTCCTGCCCTGGACAGGACGGTTCCCTTTGCAGTGTATTCCCCAGGGCCATGGGCCAGCCCATCCCTTCGGAGGCTATTCCACAGCTTGTTAGATCTCACCCTCAGGACCCGTTTCCTGCTAGTGCCCAGCGCTGCGCTCTGAACCCGCTCCCCACAGCATCCCAGAAGCAGCCGCATTTCAGCAGCCTGGTTAGCCGTCTCTGGAGTGGCTGGAGCTATGAAATGTCAATGCTTATTGCGTCCTGCACCCTGCAGCCTCAAGTAGCCAAGCACAGTTGTTCAGCAACCTTTGAGTCCCAGACTTCAGTGCCGAGGAGCCAGACCCCCCCCCCATGGTGACTTGACGTTAGTTCTTTCTTGCTGAGTTCTCGCGCTCATTCGGGTTGGAACCCTCCAGCTGTCCTTGGTGGAGGGCAGACAAAAGACGCCGTCGGTAGCACAAAGTCTCTAGGCCTGTAAAGGCCACAGCATGTGCCTAAAACAATCCACCAGTGCCGACCAGGCCTAGCCTTTGCGAATCAGACCCCGCTCGGCCGTGATTTCGCAGCCTGTTCCCTTGTTTATTCGAGCTGCCCTTTGGCAGGCGCTTTGGGTGTAGGGGTGAGAGGTGAGTGTGCTGGCGGGGACGGAGCGAGTCCTGCCGCCATTGTTAATTGTGACGACGACGGGGGATTTCCAGCTCCTTTCCTGGAGACAAAGCCGCCTGTTTTGGGAAACAGCTCCAGATAAGGGAGCGGGGCCAGAGCGCTGGCTTCTGCTGAGCTCTGTCCATTCCAGCGCTTCCCTTTCGCCCCCACCCCCTTCACTGGGATGGGAAAGTTCATCGGCCGAGCGGGTCGGGCTGGGAGCCTGTTGGAACGGTGCTTTGCAAACAGGGAACCATCAGTGACACGAGTCGGGGGGCTCATCCCCTGGCTCCGGTGATAGCTGGGCGGGGCTTGCCCAGTTCCTTGCCAGCCTGCTGCTGTGACTCAGTGGGTGACAACACCCTGGAGCCCTGAGATGAAGCTGGCACAGAATCACTGGGGTGCAGGGCCCCACCTGAGTCAGGGGCTTCTGCAGAGTGGGGGGGAGATGCTGGAGGGGGGCAGGGGGAGGCACATACTCCACCGATGCATTAAGGCCTTTGCCCACTTTGCGTGGAGGGCATTAAAGCTCCCCAGGGAGCGTTCCTGGGCAAGGCCCCAGTGCTGTGTGGAAAGGTGCTTCCCTGGGTACCTGAGAGCAGAGACCACATGGGCTCCATGGGACGGGCTGGGGGGGATGTGGGCAGCAAGGTCCCTGCCCCTCTGGGATCATTGCAGATGCTAAGGCAGGAGCTGGTGCGTGCCCTGGCCGGATGCCGGCTCATTACTGACGTTCTGGCGTCCAATGGATGCAGAATTCCTCCTTTCCCTGCGGGGCAGCAGTTAAACAGCCCAGAGGCGGCTGCGTTTCACCAGCCGCCAGATGGCGGAGAGCTGGGGGGGTTCCTTGAAGGGGCCCTGGACCTGCCAGGCATGGTACTGGAGCGGGCACTCGGCCAAA